AATTTTTTTTTAATAAAAAAAATAGGTAGTTTAATCAACTATCTATACTCCCATGTATAAGAATCAAATTAGGACAAAAAAACTCTATGTTTTCTAACTAATAGAATTTTAATTTTTCTAATTGTAAAATATGATTTAATTTTCTTTAAAATATAGTACCACACTGAGTGCGTGTCGAGTATAACCCATGAAAAAGCAGCATAGTTTTAGTCTCACCACTCTATTCAAGGCATCAATAGGAGTTATCCATAATATCAAAATTAAGATGACGGACCCCAACACAACCACTACCCGACGAAAGGGTGACGGGGAAAGTTACAGGCCCAAATCCTTCGACACATCTTTCTAATTGTGTGTTTGGTCTGATGAAAAAATGGGGAGAAGAAAAGTGAGGGAGTAAAAATAGAATGGAAGAAAAAGGTTTTAATTGTTTGGTATTAATGCTCTTTTTGATAGGGAAAATGAAAAGTAGGAGGGATATATTTTTTATCCTTCAAAGATGAAAAGTAAGAAGGATACACTTTCTTTCCTTTGTATTTGGTTGAATTGATGGAAAATAAAATGATTATTATTTTTTTTTTTTGGTGCTGACTAAAATTAAGGATGACAATAGAATCGAGTCGTGTCGTGNTTACTCGTGCTTAAAGGTACGGTACAAATGTAAATGATTTTGAGAGAGATGTTAATGGCCGTTAAATGAGTCTATTTTAAACTGTCAGATGAGTTTATTGAAACATGTTATGTTTTATTTTATATTATAGATGTCAAATAGTATCCGGTTTAAATGGGCTTCATTATAACAATACGACCTGATATCACTGGCTTATTCTTAGACGTACTTGTGGTTAATACTGCTATTTTACAATTTATCAGATCTCTGACAAGAAGCAATCTGCAAGCAGTAAAATTTTGGAATAGTCCCGACTCGACCTTACTCATGTTCTGCTGATAGTTTTTGAGATTGGTGCGGGATAGGATGCTTGTGAACATTAAAGATGAGATTCGTTTTGAAAATGTGGAAACATTTACGTCGATTTCACATTTTTAGTGGTCGGTTTGTCGCATGCTTAGTTTTTTGTAGAAGGTGATGATAAAGGGCAGTGCAACCAGCTGCCCTCGAAGACTGTTTTCCGAAGTTTTGATGGGGCATGGTATAATAATTTAGCAAGCTTTGAAAGCCATTGAAGATGAAGGGTGAATTCTTTGTCACTTGAACAGTTGCAGCAGGACACAGAAAGGGACGAATGAAAGTGGGAGGTTTAGCAGTTGGCATCTAAGCTTTGTAAATTCTAGTCGAACAGTTGGCATCCATGATAAATAATAAAGCCAAAGAGAGGTTTGATGGTATCTTTTTCTTATTTTTTTTGTCTGAAATTTAATCTCTATATTAGATACGATTCGCTCCAACCCTATCATCAGTGAGTATTCCAACTCATACACTCTGCAGAATCTTAAATGGTGAACTTCGTTAATAGTTATTGTCAGACAGAAACAGCATCATCTGCATGACGTAGTCCTAGATGCCTGAATAATCCCATTGAGGAGGACATGACAACCCCGTTTCAACCCTTCCTAGTGTCGCCAGCGCCTATTATTTGATTATTAATTTGATCTAAGATCGCTTATTTCTCGATTCTATCGTGGCAAACAAAGGCTTGTGAATACAAAGTTTCATTGTAATATACGCCAATTGCTATTACAACTGACAGCAACTACCATCTGAAAATTCGAATTTCCTCTTCATTTAGCTATCTCCACAACAATCTAAATACATAAATTGAACTTCTATAACTTAATCAGACGAGTCAAACTGCAAACCCCCTTGCAGTAATGTCTGTAACATCCAAAATGCATCAAATTCCCTTCTGGGTATTTCTCATATCAGTCTCTCTCCTCCTACATGCAACAAAATCTGATGAAGAAGAGGCTAAACGCGCATTGCTCAATTTTTTCACAAAACTGTCAACCAATAATGGCTCCATTGATCCCACTTTAGGTTGGAATTCAACCTCTGATCCTTGCAGGGATCAGTGGAAGGGTATCATATGTGATAATCACAATCTTTCAGTAAAGAAAATCTTCCTCGATGGCTTCAATTTTTCTGGAACCTTTGATGCAAGCACTCTTTGCAACGTGCAATCTCTCGTTGCTACTCTTGGTGTCATAAGTCTCAATTACAACAATCTTCGCGGAGAGAACCTAGAGGAGATTGCAAATTGCAAACAACTCACTCGCTTTCATATAAGTAGAAACCAATTTTCCGGTAGCCTCCCCAACTCTCTATCCAGATTGAATAATCTGAAAAGACTTGAAATATCATACAATAACTTTTCAGGCAGTTTGCCTGAATTGGCTCGGATTTCAGGTTTGACAGTGTTCCTTGCTCAAAACAATGACCTCTCGGGGGCTATACCCAACTTTGATTTTGCCAATCTTGAGGAATTTGATGTCTCCTTCAACAATTTCAGCGGTCCAATTCCGCTTGGGGGAGTTAGTTTCTGGGTAAGCAGCTACATTGATAATCCTGAATTATGTGGTGATCCATTGCCAAACAGATGCCCAACACATAAACCAAAGGGTGGAGTCTCAAAGAATCAAATTCTAATGTTCTCAGGCTATTTTCTCATAGGTTTGGCTCTGTTCCTTGTCATCATTCTCAAGCTGTTTTGCAAAAAAGACGGGACAAAAGAAGAGAAGAATGATGCAGTTTACAAGGTAGCAGCACTTGATGACAGTTCTGACAATCCTAGTTTCACAACAAATGAGCATAAAATAGGTATGAGCAAATCCGAAATCTCGAATGCTTCGGCTGACAGTGGATTGGTTTCATCATCGTTGGTGGTTCTTTCAAGCCCGGAGGTGAACGGACTGAGATTCGAGAATTTGCTCAAGGCTCCTGCGGAATTGATTGGGAGAGGAAAGCATGGTAGTGTGTATAAGGTTATATGTGAGGATCAAGGGAAGCCTCTGGCTGTTAAAAGGATTAAGGATTGGACTATTTCTAGCTATGATTTCAAGCAGAGGATGAGAAGGTTAGACCAAGTGAAGCATCCAAATGTGTTGCCAGCCATGGCCTTTTATTCTTCCAGACAAGAGAAGCTTTTGGTCTATGAATATCAACAGAATGGAAGTCTCTTCAGGCTTCTCCATGGTAACTTCCATTCCATTCCATTCCCCAGTACCTCTTCTAGTCTAATTGCAGTTCATATTTTATATTGCATACTAATAGAATTATATACCAAGGGTCCAATTACGATACGAAAGAGCAATGTTTCATTAAGATATCGAAAAACTATTTTCAACGATGGATTTTGGTTTGAGTTGTTTGCAGGCGGAAACAATGAAATTAGAAGTAACAATAAAATAAGGAGATTTTATACAAGTCGCTCTTATCGGACAAAAAGAGGAGTGATACCCTTGTCTCCTTCATAAACTAGGGTAAATACAAAGCCTAGAGATGCCATTTACTGAGTTTTAGTAAATATGAGATGAAGAATAGGATTATGGTAGCGAGTTCAGTATTATCTCAAAATTTACAAGTAAATAAGGATTAATTGTAATGCATTTGAGTCAAGTTACAACTCCAACAAAGTTGAGATTAATCCTAAAATATTATAATTGATCATCAACAATTTCATTTAATCGTAATCTTACCAAATTGAATTGTAACCTCAAATTTATTATTATTATGATCTAACATTGTGTAAGGAAAAGAACTTGAGGTGTTGGGAAAAATTTCAGGAACCCAAATGAGCAAAGCCTTGGACTGGAGCAGCAGACTTGGTATTGCAGCCACCATAGCTGAGGCCTTAGCTTTTATGCATCAAGAGCTTCGTCAAGACAGGATTGCTCATGGTAACCTTAAATCCTCAAACATTTTACTAAACAACAGCATGGAGCCCTGCATCAGTGAGTATGGTCTGATGGTGGTGGAGGATCAAGACCGGTCAGTATCTGCCACTGCCAGTGTCAACAGCATTCAAGCTGCAGAAGAAAGTGCAGACACGATCTTCAAATCAGACATTTTTGGGTTTGGAGTGATTCTTCTCGAGCTACTTACAGGAAAGATGGTCCAGAACAATGGGGTGGACTTGGCTCAATGGGTTGTTTTGGTGGTGAGAGAAGAATGGACAGTGGAAGTTTTTGACAAAACACTGATTCAGGATGGTACAAGTGAAGAGAGAATGTTGAACTTACTACGGGTTGCTATAAAATGTGTTAATCGTTCTGCAGAGTCTAGGCCTAGCATAAACCAAGCTGCTCTCATGCTCAATACTATAAAAGAAGAAGACGAGAGATCCATGGATGTTTCTGAACAATGAAGAGGAGAAAACACTTTCTTCAATGCAAAGTTTTAGAAACCACATCAAACATGCATAGACAAATCACTATCAGGTGACATTCTTGTTGAGAGAGAGAAGAGCAGTTGTGGGTGGTGGAATATAAAATAAGTCAGAAAATATTATATGTACTTAATTTAGAGACCCATTAATGTAAAGATATGTCTCTTCATTGATTATCATTGGTATGCAGAAGACATTGGAAAAACAGACCTGAGTGGCTACTGGTAAGACTTCGTTTATTTTTTAAAAAAAAACCATTACCAAATGATGGCTAGCTGTTACAAGAATTTAAAAAATTGTATTTCATTGGATCCATCTCAACGATGGGGGGAGTAATCAACGGTCTTTAAAAGTCATTGTTGTTTCAAGACCAACCACCACCGAAATTAAGGCATCCACGATTCCACATCGTAATTAAAATATTCATAAACAAAAAATTACATATGATCTAATCCAAGAAAATTTAAACATTTGGGTTTAAAACTCTTCTTTTTTATCATTTAAATTACCTTGGGTTAAAATCATGTTAAATGGAGGGACACCAATAAATACTCGGCAAAAAAATAAAAAAAAATATACAAACAAATTGGAATCATTATAATTATTTTGTATCATAGTCCTATAAATCATGAAAAATAACCTCAAAACTTTGCACTCCAATCTGTTATTTCCCATACACAGTTACAACCCCTATTTTCTCCCCTCAAAAAATGCTAGACAATTTATATTTATTAAATGAATTTAATTAAAAATAAAAGAAAAAGTACCGAACCAAAAAGTCAACCACCAGACCAGAGTCGTCGACGACCACCACAATCTCGCAATTCCTCCGCCGCAATTCTCTCCGCAGCCTAACTTAACCAGGAACGGCCATCACGTGAACGACGGCCCGTCCTTCCCCAAGTCCATCGATGACTTCGCCGAGATCGGAATCGACGCATACCTCGACGAGAAATCTCGGAAGACACGATCATCTTCCAAATGACCATTCTGCCCAGGACCCTCATCGAAATTCAGAGAATAACTCAAAGGATCGTACTGGAATTTACCCTGCTTCGCCCGATTCTTGTTGAACTGGCGTATGAATGTCTTCCATTTCGGACCGGCGACGAGCTCCGACCATTCTCTGACTTTCTTCAATGCATTCACACTCTTGGCCCACCAACTGGTCTCTTCTTTCTCCGCCGTTGATATGCGTTCCCAGAGGGTAGTGGATGGTATCCAGAAACAACAACACCCTCTTTTATCGAAGGCAATCTCTTGCATTTCGTCGTTGAAATCAGTCTCTTTGCGGGAGAGGTCTGGGTTCTTCTCTGAGGCCATTATTGGGTGGGAAAAGCAGGAACGTTTTGGTTTGCAGAGAGAGATAAGAAAGAAAATAAAAATGGGGTTTCTTCTTAGGGCTTTATAGTTTGCAGGAGAGAAGAAGAATGGGGTTTCCTGCAAAGTGCAAACCCTAACCCTAATCTCTCTCCCTCTCTGAATGCTTGTGTTTTCTCTGTATATTAAGCGGGGTGGAGAAATATAAGGGGTCTTTAACGGTAACATGTGTGACGTATAGTGATAGTAGGCCCCCATTGGCCATTACAAATAAATCCTGGTGGTGATACGGATTATATAAACCGTCAATAATTTGTCACACAGGGCTGGACCAATGAATTCACGCCAGCTGCATGCCTGAGGCAAAAAATCTTGCCCGTACTACGCCTTTATTGGACAAAAAATCATATATTTTTGGTCAGTGTCATTTGTATAGTCCTCTAACATGCAACGTACCACAAGAAACGAGTAATATTATTGAAATATAATTTAAATATTTATTAATAATTATAATTATTAAATTAATAATAAATCTTAATATTGAATTTATTTTATTATCATTTTAATGTTCACAATGCATTAAATACTTAGATTATGCTCCAATAATACTAGTGACCACATATTTTTCAATTTTACCTCTAATTTGTTGGAAGATATCACCTTCAACTTGTACTAGTTGCGAAGATTGAACCACTTGAATAAAAACTTATTGCAAGCATCAACTACTACATTAGTCTTGCCCAATTTATATTTCAAAATCTCTTGTCATCGGAGTTATTTTTACGTAAATTTTTTTTGAACCTGAAATAGTTAGGTTAATCCCTTAATTTAGTATTATGAAATCCTTATAACATTTTACTAGTGATTTCATTCATGTGAAATCCGAGATTTACAATTTTGGAAATTTAATTGGATAGAACTCTATTTGTAACTAAATAAGTCAAAATACTAATTTTTTTTTAATAAAAAAAATAGGTAGTTTAATCAACTATCTATACTCCCATGTATAAGAATCAAATTAGGACAAAAAAACTCTATGCTTTCTAACTAATAGAATTTTAATTTTTCTAATTGTAAAATATGATTTAATTTTCTTTAAAATATAGTACCACACTGAGTGCCACAGCTCATATTGGGTACTTTTTCGTCGTATCAAAATCAGAGTGGTGAGATAAGGCATCAATAGGAGTTATCCATAATATCAAAATTAAGATGACGGACCCCAACACAACCACTACACGACGAAAGGGTGACGGGGAAAGTTACAGGCCCAAATCCTTCGACACATCTTTCTAATTGTGTGTTTGGTCTGATGAAAAAATTGGAGAGAAGAAAAGTGAGGGAGTAAAAATAGAAGGGAAGAAAAAGGTTTTAATTGTTTGGTATTAATGCTCTGTTTGATAGGGAAGATAAAAAGTAGGAGGGATATATTTTTTATCCTTCAAAGATGAAAAGTAAGAAGGATACACTTTCCTTCCTTTGTGTTTGGTTGAATTGATGGAAAATAAAATGATTATTATTATTTTTTTTTGGTGCTGACTAAAATTAAGGATGACAATAGAATCGAGTCGTGTCGTGTTAAATTCGTGTTAAGTCATTACGAGTTTGTGTCGAATATTAGTCAAACATATATTAACTCATTTAACTAATTGTGTCGTATCGAGTTGACCTATTTATTTTCATATCGAGTTCGAGTCGTGTCATCGTGTTGAGTTGAAAATTTTTACCCTTAGTTAAGATGAAAAAAATATTTTTTTTCAATTAATTTTTTTTTATTTTTTTAAAATATATATACATATTTTACCATTGTATTTTTATATGAAATTAATGTATACATAAAATATATAGACAAATAAAATATATCTCAACACAAATAATTAACGTTTCATCTATTATCCTTCCGATTTTGGAGGGATTGATTTTGGTAAGTTGAAAAGAAAATTAATTCATCCACTTTTTCATCCTTCCTACTTTCCTTTTTTACTAAACATGATGTTTTATTTATCACTTCATCTTTCCATCCTTCCAACTTTTCATCTTTCTATTTTTTCATTGTATCAAACAGAACATAAAGAAAAGTATGAGGGAGTGAAAAGTGGGAGAAGATTTCTATCCTTCCAACCCATCAAATATTTTCAACCCAAATTTAAGCAAAAAGTAGGGGAAAAAAGTGAAGACAAGACAATAATTTTTTAAGTTAACTTTTTTACGCTTTACTTATTGGAGTGAAAAAATATATTTAAGGATAGAATTATAAATTGGCATATATGTTTTTGCTTTCCTTTTATTTTTCATTTAATACCAAACAAATAGAAAATATATCATTCTTACTTTTCACCCCTCGTACCAAACAAAAAAGAAGAAAAATAATTTTTTTTTCTTCAAGGAGTGAAACCGTATTTCTTTTTACTTTTTCTTCCTTCCTATCATTTGAACCAAATGAACCATAAGTTACCGGCACCTCATCTTATGTGGGCATCTTTTCTAATTCATGTTTGTATAATTTAAACAGGAAAAAATTGGAGTGAGGTACACTCAATTAGACTTAATCGTAAAAAAATATATAAAAAAAATATTAGATAATTAAGTCCTTAATTTTAATACTTATTTATATCTAAGTACATTATTTAAATTTTACTGATTTTTTTGTGATATTTTTACCCTTCATTAATCCATTTGTATTTAATGCACCACTTTTATTTGAAAAGTGGTGTGTTAAATATTTTCTAATTTTATGAAAGAACTTTAATATATATATATATATATATTCACACACACACACACACATATATATAATATAAAACAAGGTGACTTCAATAAGTCGATCATACGGTCTCAAATTTATTCATCCAATAATCAAGAAATTATAATTTTTTTTCCTTAATATTTCCTCCCCCAAAAGTCAACGATTACGGCTGATCTTGAAACATATTTTACGGTCTCAAATTCATTCATCCAATGGTCAAAAATATATTTCTTCCCTAAAAACATCATATCGTTTATTTATATCATATGTTTAATTATTTAATATTTGATGAATTTGTAGTTTATATAATTTTTATTTCAAATATTATTCATATACAATAGCATACACGTGTTGAAAAAAATTATTATAAATGGGATGAAATTTTTGAGCGCTCGAATTTTATATTTTATCGTGCTTTTATATATGTATGCATGTATATACTTGTTATTAAATCTTTTATTTAAATTTTGAATTATCTTTTAATGCAGCTTGATTCATTCGTATTTTTTTTTTTGGAAAGTGATTTTGTTTTCAAATTATATTTAATGTACCTTAATTCAAGCATTTTTTTTTTAAAAATGATTTTATTTTTAAATTAATTTAATATCCGAATAATGTAATAGTGTTCAATAGTTTTGTGTATGGGGTAACATATTTAAAATGGAGATGAATTATTTTGAATGAAATTATATGAAACTATATGTTTGACAAAATGTAATAGTATAATATTTTATGTAAATAATTTGTTACACTGTTATTCTTATACTGTTACATTGTTAGTATTACACTGTTATACTTTTATTGTTACACTGTTATTGTTACACATGAATCAAGATGTATTAAATAAATATTTATATGTATTAGCAAACACTTGAATTAAGGTGAATTAAAGATAAAAAATTTTGAATTAAATGACCGTAAAATAGGCATTTATGTCTTTATAACTCAATTTTGTATTTTTTTAAAAAATATTTTATTCTATATATTTTTTTATTAAATAAGTCTAATTAGGTGTACCGTTTTTTAAAGAATCCTATAAACAACTTCACGGTCCAAAATAATTGCGCAGCCAAGCCTAGAAACTTATTCCATTGGGCCCATTTTGCCACCGGCCAACCTACTTCAATTATCATGCCTAATAGGAAACACATAGATTAAGATTCCTTTATATATATAACTTTTAATTTTTTTTCTTGGTAGAAGCTCCATTTGTAGATCATCCACCATTAATGGTCAAAAAAAAAATTAGTCAAGATGCATATAAGTTAACCTAAACAGCTCTTGATTGTTCGTAAAACCAAAAAACAAAAGTCCCATTTGTTACAATAAGTCTTACTTAAATACAATATAAATGTTCCACCCAGAAAAAAATTAAAAAAAAAATATATTCATTTCAAACAAATCACTAGAAAAAGACCGTTGTAGAGAATTGCATTAACGCATAAAAATAATTCTACACTCATTGATTTTTTATCAATTTTTTTTAAATAGATTAATTATATGATTAAATTAGTGAATCCCATTAACTCTCAATAAACATTTAATGATTACCAAAACATCACATAATTTGATGGAAAAAAAAAAAGTTAGTACAAGAACTCAGTGGACACAATTTCATTCAATGCGTAACATTCCAGTATGCCAAAACCTAGTAGACAATAGTCAAATAATTGCATTTTTCTCCTCCTTGCTGGTTAAGTAAAAGTGCTAATTTTTATTCTTTTTGCTTTTCTATTAAAAATTGCTAAATATAATAAGTAGTCAAGTATTTTGACCAGAATTTATCTTTTTTATTTTTGTTAATCATATGAGTCCAATTCCAATTTGTTTTTTTTTGGAGCTACTAAGCAAAATGTTTGACTAACTACTTTTCGACACATGATATATTTGGCTTTTTATAATTGTCAAAATTGACCTTTTTTTTTAGATTTTTTTTTTTAAATAAAAAAGTAGTTGCATCATGAAAGTAAAAATAAATTTCATCACTATATAATAAAAGAGAACTATTTGAATTTAAGGATGTAGTAACATTGTTCATCGCATGTATACCTCTTGGTGTCTTTCTAAATAACACCAAGCTCCTCTCATGTTTCGGTAATGATAGAGATTGGTTTTGAATTTGGGTGCTCTATGAAGAAACATACTCTGACTAATTACATGAAGGCCTCTTAAATTTCTAATATCAAAGTGATGCTGGAAAAATCTTTATGATAAATAAATTAAAATAGGACTCACACAACGAAAGTAGTGGGACCATGATTTAATTATTTGTTTAGAATCATTAATATTTGAACGAGAAATTATTCTAAAAAATTACTAATTTATATTGGTATAATATACTGAATTTGGAGTTGGATCAAAAATAATTCAAATCGAAACATTGAGTAAAGCAAGCACCCACATGCGGTGCTCAAGGCTATTGGTGCCTTGCTTTGCCTTGCCTCTTGGCGCCTTGGTTTGGGGCGCTCCCTCCGGTGGTCGT